GTTGTTTCTCACTGCTACAGTTTTTTTTCTTGTGAATTGAAAAGGAAGGTCAGTTTAGTTAACTCTTCACCCTTGTTGATTCTCCTGTTAAGAGTGAAAATCCAAAAACACACAGACAACCCTTTTAACCCTGTTCTGTTCGCTTTTAAACAGACAAACACAGATACGATTTACAGGACTCTTTAGAACAAGGTCCGAAGAGTGAAGAGGATTTAATATTGCTTTATTAAACGAAATGTGAGATACTGGCATCAACTTTGATTGCATCGCTCAGAACAATTTCCTTTCAAGTTTTATTACTGTCTGTTCTAGTAACTAGCTACTTGCAGATATCAAAATAATTTCTCTCACTGACAAAGGCATATGGAATATAAGAAATATACGAAATAGTTTATATTTACACATATAAATACATTTCTTTTTAAAAAAAATCATATTTACACACTGTAAGAATTTGGAAACTTGTCACAGGTAGAATTCCTGATACTGGCTTGTATAAGGAAGAGCTGGAATGGACTCATATGGTGCAGTGCAGTACAGGAAATTCCTATGGAAATCACAGACTATGGTGACGATGGCGCCATACACTCGGACAAGTTATATACACGTACAGTACCATAAAAGGCAGGAGTGAAAGACATAATGATCATTATATAACCCAGATAGGGCTTTGGCTCATATTTGCGAATCCGTTCATACATGCGACCTGTAACTGTGTTGAGGCTGTCGGTCCGCTAAAACTTTAGACTCGTACTTTGGTTTACGCTTGATGGTTTTGGGTCATTATGTATTGAAATTTTTGCTTGCCGCAATCTTGCTGTCAGGGGTGGGGGTTGCGGCCTTGTCTAACGACTGTAACAAATAAATTTGAAAAAAACAAAAAATTATCATTTTTTCTTTTTACCGAGGGGTATTTAGTGGTCGGTGATAGCGTATGTCAAACCTTCCAGTCTCGTTTTTGCTTATTAAATACCTATCGGTTCTCTCTTTCTCTCTCTCTCTCTCTCTCTCTCTCTCTCGGTCTTTCTCTCTCTCCTCTCTCTCTTCCTCCCCTCTCAATTTCTCCGCTCTCTCATACTCTTCTCTCTGCCAATATGCCTCCAGCTAGAGTTTGTTCTGCATGTACGTGTGTGTGTAGTGAGCAGTCAGTGCGTGTGAATATGTCCGTGAAATTGTATGGATTAGCCTACATAGTGGTACTCGGATGTTATGTGTAGTAGCCTGTGTGTGTGCTGGCGGATGAGAGTGTGTGCAGGTAGATGTAGTCGTGTTGCGTAGCGTGCGTGATGTGCAATGTAGCATGTGTGTTGGCGTGTCGACGCCCGGTAGTGTGCTTCGACTTCTCGGTGGTGAAACATGTGTGTGCGGTTCGCATGTGTGTGTCCAATGTGGTGAACCGTGTGTTGGTGATTTGACTTCAGTGTGAACAGTTCCGTTGTCATTCCCGTGAAGTGATCTGAATGTTTTGGAGAGTTCCGTGACAAGGGAGGATGGCAACCATGGTGTTCCGCACTTGTATTATGTGGTACTATGTGTTTAGGCTCATTCTCGTGTGTGTGTGGTACGTTTGTTGTCGTGGTTAGCTTTTAGGAGTGTGCGTTGTGTGTCGTGCCGTGTGTGTGTCGGCATGTATGTGTTGTGCGTGTGCATGTATTGTATGTATGTTGTGCCGTGCGTGTGGCGTGTGCGTGCCCGCGCGTTCCCCTGGTCCGTGACATATGGATTCTCACGCCCCCGTCCTCAGAAGACCCGTTGTCACCGGTACTTTGCTTTTGTCATTTCACCACTCGGCACAGACGTTTTCCGTGTTCTCAGCGGAACCAGCTCTCTCTCTTTCGTTTTGTTTATTTCAAATATAGGTTGGCATAATTGGAGCTTACATAGGATTTATTTACCATAAACACCAAACATTCTCGAATCATAGCTTCTTGATTTGACTTGTTTGGTGAAAAAAAAAAAAAGTTGACGGAAAAGTTTTCAGACGGAAACGGATCTTATACGTCTGACTGGAGAATCGGACCCAATTAGCCTCAAAAATTGGACAAAAATTTCAGAAAATGTCAAAAAAAAAATTAACGGAAAAAGTGCTAGGCTGTGGACAGCACCTTTAGTGAACTGATTAGCAGAAAGCGCACTTTCTT